TTTTTTTTTTTTTTTTTTTTTTTAAGAAGCATATTTTTTTTATCATTTTATAAATGGTAGATAAAAAATTACCAGTTTTTAGATACAAAAAAAAAAAAAAATTATATACATCTTTTCTTGTATTAAGTAGAATAATTGAAAAATTATTCAACCTTTTTAAATATTAATTATTATGTTCTTTATTTTAACAAAATATTTCAACGAAAAAAAAAAAAACTATAAATTTTTTCAAACAGCAAACAGTACATTATATGGTAGAAAAAAAAAATTAAGAGGAAAAACAACTAAATATATTAATTATTTTTTTTTAAAAAAGAAAAAAGTTGAAGAACAAATATATTACAATAATATAAAGAGGAAACATTTTAAAGATGTTTCTTCTCCATTTCATATTATTTGTAATCTTAAAAATGATAAATTAAAATTCTTGAAAAAATGTAATCTTTCGGAAAAAAAGCATATATTAGAGAATACACATATAAAATTCGAAAATCCTAATATTAGTCAAATAAAAGAAATCAGAGATGCAAATGAAAATATTAGAAATAATGAAGTGATAATACATGATAAAAATTATGTGTGTGAAGATGAAAAAAAATTACTCGATTTATATAATGAAGAATATCTTTTCCTTCCAAGAATGAATATAAAAAAAGACAGAAAATTAAAAGATTTAAAAAACATGAATAATATTAATAATGTAATAGATATAAGAAAAAATAAAGATTTAAGTAATTTATACTTAATTACCAGCTTAATCAATATATATCATGATAATAATTACAATTATTTGATTTTAAAAATATTAAAAGAAATAAAATATATAAATTATATGAATATAAAACAAATAAGTCTAATCATTTACAACTTATACAAATATTATTTTATTAACTACATAAAGAATATGTTTTCTAATGATGATATTATAAATTTTAATTCTTTTTACAATTATTATTATATATTAGATGACTTCATATATAATGAAAATATGAAATATGAATTGATAGATTTAAATATAATTAAACAATTTCTTATATCTTTATCAATTGATATAAAAAAAGATATACATTATGAAACTGATTTTAATGTTTTAAGTAAAATTATTTTTGTATTCTCTTATTTTTCAATTAATGATAAAAAATTAAATGAACTTTTAATTGATAGAATCTTTAAAAGTCTTCATATAAAGAAAAATAAAAAAATAAAATATTTTTCGTTAATATCATTATCATTTGAGAATTTGAAACTATATTATTCTAAATTTGTATTTATGCATTCATATATTATTATAAAAAAAATGAAGAAATTATCAAGAAAATATGGAAACTCAATAATTTATAAAAAAAAAAAATTAAAACAAATAAATCTATTTGATTTTCATAAAAAACAAAAAAAAATACCATTAGTAGAACTAAAAGATATTTTTGCCTATATGTATATTCTTAAAAAAAATAATTTAAAAAATAATCAATTTATCATGGAATTATTAAAATATTGTAATTTATTTTTTAAAAAAAATTTTTCTAAAGAGAAAGATAAGTATATTTATTCATACATTCAAAATTTTAATAATAATTTTCATAAAGATGATAATTTATCAACTAAAGAAAAAATAATGAAAAATTGCGTTTATTATAGATCATTAAAAAATATAAAAATAGAAAAACATAATGAAGATAAAAAAAAAAATTTCTTATTGAATTCTTATAATAGTATGATACTAAAAAAAAAAAGAAAAAACAAAAAATTGAACAAATATTTGGCCTTATATTCTTTGTATAACATAAATAAAAACATACAACGTCTAGAATCATCAAAAAATAATTATTCTAATGATACTTTAATACAAATTAAAAAAGTAAATAATAATATTGAAAATTATTCTGAAGAAGGTAAAAAACAAAAAGACAAAATAGTTTTACAGGAGAAAAATTGTTTTAAAAAAACTGCAAATAATATAATAAATCAAAATATTAATAATTGTGTTTCAAGAGAAAAAACTAGAGATATATCAGAAAATAATCTGAAAGATAAAGTAGAATATAAAAATGATTCTATTATTTCACCAATTCAAAGTAATGATGTATTAATAACAAATAATTCTTTTTCAAAAAATTATGAAATTGATATATTTTGTCTTATAATACTTTTAAATCATTTAATTACTTATGATTTCCTTTTTCTTAAAAAAATACCAATTTTCCATAATTTGATAAAATTATATTTAGATTTAATAAGAATTTCAAAATTAAAGCAGATTCACTTTTTTTATTTTTCTAAAATTATTAAAATTAATGAATATATGAATATATATAATAATTTTATAATTAAAGTAATATATTCTTCTATTTTTTTTAAATTCAAAAATATTGCTTTATTTGGCACGGGTGTATTAAATTTTTATGTAGAAAATTTATGCTATTATGTAATTATATTATATCAAAATTTACTAAAAATGAAAATAAAAGATTACAATTTAAATAATATAATTTATATATATTTAATCAAATTCTTAGAAAAATATAAGAAAATTAGTCATATACTTTTATATCGTTATTTAAAGTTGTTTTATTCAATGAAAATTTGCTATGAACCTAAGAAAAATTATTATGATAAATTAATAACTTATAAGAAAAGTTCCTTAATATATGATAAGGAAGATTTTAACATGACTTATAAAAATACATTATTATATAAGAAATTTGAGTTTTTAATTTTTGAGAATCTAATATCATTAAAATGGAACACTCTTGATAATTTTTATTTAATAAAATTTTATAAATATATAAATAAATTAAAATTACATGTAGTCATTAATGGTGAAATGAAAAAAAATTTAGATAATGTATATAAAAAGTTACAAGATATAATAAAAGAAAAAAAATGTGACATAAATTTTTTAGATATATTGAAATTATACATAAATAGCAATAATGAACTAAAAAAAAAAATATTTCATTTAGAATACTTTTTTAATAATTTATTATCAATTGGTAATATAGAACAATTGGACAGTAGTAATTTTATTTTATTTTTTAAAACAACATTTTCATATATATATCTAAATAATACACACAAAAAAAAATTTTTTATTAAAAATTTTGATTGTATTAAATTAATCAATTTAAATAGAAATTACATAAATAAAAATATAGAAAAAATAAAAAAGAAATATATATATTTAATAATTATATATAATTTTCTTTATTTACATAAACTTTTTCAAAAAAAACTTGTATATCATAAAAAGATTATAAATATAAATCATGTAGAAATAATGTTTGAAATAATTAATAAATGTTTGGAGAATTGGTATTTTATTAATGATGAAAAAAATGCTCTCATATATATTTTTCTATTATATTTTAATAGTTTAAAAAAAAAAAAAAAAAATTTTTTTTTTACCAAAAAACATTCAAAAAAATTTCTAGATATTTCAAAAAATTGTATTGAAGAAATGAATAAATTATGGAATATATATTTTAATAATTCTTACACTACATATATTAATCCATTACTTTTGTTTTTTTTATTTAAATATAAAATATTTTTAAATAATTACAGTAGAAAAAAAGCAAAATCAATGATAGAAATTATTAATAACAGAACCATATATTATCACATGTTGAGATCAAAAAATGATTTTATATTTCTTAATACTATTTTTTTTTCTATAATAAAAAATAATTATATTTTAAAAAATGAGCTTTTTGATGATTTTACTAATTTATATTTTAATAAAATTACTTTTAAGTCTTTTATTTGTAATAATTTTGAAAAGGATAAAAAAAAAAATTACTATGATTTATTTGAGACAATAAAACTGAATATTCTAAATAAAAGTGAAAATAATAATAAAAACATTATTTATAGTTTTATAGCTAGAAGAAAATCAATTGAATATTTAATTAAAACTGTTTTAAATAGAAAGAAATATGAAATGTATCTGTTATAAATTATTTTCATTTGAAAACAACTTTTATATAATAGATACAACTTAAGTTATTAACTAAGTTTTATTAAAAAATTTCTGATAAATTCTTTTTTTTTATTTTTAAGTCCTTATAAAAAATTTCATTGGTAAATTTATATTTTTATATTAATCAAAACTAAAATTTATTGTAAGTTTAAATATCTTTAATTTTTAAATCTTCATTATTATTTTATTTTATTTTATTTTATTTTTTTTTTATATTTATTTTCTTCATCTACTGTTTTTTTCTCTTTGTTTCATATATTTATAAATTTTTTTTTTTTTTTTTTTTTTTTTTTTTTTTTTTTTTTTTTTGTTATAGATAAAATACATTTTTATATATATATATATATAGAATATATTAAATGGTTTATAAATATATTTAACATTTTTTGTCCTTAATAAAATATATTTAAAACTATAAAAATTAATAAAAAAAAAGAAATTTTCTAAAATAATTTAAATAATTTTTCAATATATAAATTTTCAAACTACAAAGTCCATTTTGTTAAAGCCTAGAAGTGGCTAATAATAAAATTTAAATTTTATAGATATATAAAAAAAAAAAAAAAAAAAAAAAAAATATATATATTTTAAAGTTTATATTTTTTCTTTTATTTTTTATGTTTTTTATTTAAATTGTTTTTAAAAGTATCATAATTTAAATTTTAAAAAAAAAAAAAAAATGAGAAACGGAAATACTGTGAACATTTTAAGTGATGAGGAGATAAATAAAAAGTATGTTGAATTAAAAAATAAAATAAATTTAGAAAATGATGAGGATGATTGTCATATCAAAGAGATGAAACATTTATTAAAGATAGTTTGTTTAAAATATAAAGCTATAAAATTTGGAGATTTTATTTTAAAATCAAAAAGAAAATCAAAATATTTCTTTTCTAGTGGAGTTTTAAATAATGTAATTTCTGCAAATATTATTTCATTTTTAATATCACATCTAATTTTAAAAAAAAATTTTAAATTTGATTACTTGCTTGGTGCTTCATATAAAGGGATTCCAATAGCAACATTAACAAGTTACTTTTTATTTTCTTCAAATAAATATCACAACGTTTTTTATTTATATGATAGAAAAGAAAAAAAAGAATATGGAGACAAGAATGATATAATTGGAATTTTAGAAGATAATAATATAAATGAAGAAAAAAAAATTATTATAATTGATGATGTATTTACTTGTGGTACAGCTTTAGGAGAAATTTTAAATAAATTGAAACATTATAATAATCTAAAAGTAATAGCAATCATTGTTCTTTTTAATAGAAACGAATATAATATAAACGAAAATAATGAAAAAATTTATTTTAAAGATTTATTTGAACAAAAATTTAATATTCCTTTATACTCTATTTTAAATTATAATGAAGATTTTGATCATTTAATATAAACCGTAAAAAAAAAAAAAAAA